GGACTGTGGAGTCGGAAAAGTATGTAATGCGGTATTCAAATGCGTTGATGAAATTCCATTTCTAAATCAAGGAGATCTATGCGTTAGAGATGGTAGTTGTTCAACTAAAATTTGCCGCAGAAGTGATATTGATGCAGGAAAATGCCAAACTTCCGATAAACGTTCTACTGGAGATGGTTGTTTAGTTAATGATGCATGCAACAGCAAAACATGCAATGCGAACTTGTGCACCTGATTTCAAATATATCATTATATTATTTTTTTTTAAAAAAAACTAGAGTATGCAAATATGCCAGTCACCGGGATTTTTTTTTTTCTATTTTTTTTCTTTCAGCAAGATTTTAATTTTTTTAAAATTTAATAAACAATAAATAATTTAATTATTATCTATAATGGTAAAGGAATTGATATTTTTTCTTTTAGATGATTGTATTCTTGGATCATGGATTGATCTGTTATAATTGCATTATTCTGCAATATACATATAATGATAATAATTCTTTATTCGTCCCGGGAACACACATTTTTACATAATTTGAAACTTTTGATTAATCCAAATCTTTATAGAGCAAAGATCTTTGTAAAATCTGCCAAAAAATTTTATATATCGAAAACCATTTTTAAACCATTAATTCATTTTTTTCAATTTTCTTTCTCTTCTAGCATTAGATTTTTAGCCTATTATTCCTGGAAAACTGTTCTTTGATATACACGAAAACAGTCATTTGGTAAAAAACGCCTCAGACCAAGTTTTCGTTATGTAAATTTCATTCTGTTCGGAGTTATACACGAAATAGTTTGTTTCATTTTGATTTATATTTCCTTTTAATGTATAAAATACACATTCTCCGAAAGATAAAAAACGATAGCACCTATAGATTTAGTTAAATTATCTGAAACTCTTGATTGTGATGACATTTGACGTTATATTGCGAAGAAGGCTTCAAAAGGTGACCACAATATTCTGAGACTGGTTTAATCAAAAAGTAAAGAATGTATTAAAAAGAGAGAGATGAAAGGTGAAATTTAATTTAATCAATCAATTAACAATTAATAAATAAAAATCTAGTTGAATATTTATTTATTTTCTTTAGCCTGGTTTATGTCTAGAAGCAACCCAATTCATTGCTTTAATAATATCACTCCATTTTCCAGATCCTGATCTTCCTAAAGCTTTAAAACGGCTTCCTATATAAATATTTGTTTCATGTGACGTTATTTTTACAACAATATATATTTTTTTTTACCAGTAATCTATATATTTTTTATGAAAATAAAAAAAATTTTTTTTTAAAAAGGAATATAATAATAATAAAGTCAGTGTCTGCAACTGATTCAAGTTCTCCAACTTGGAAGGTTGCAACCCAGGTTGCTGGTTTAGATTTTCCCTAGATTCAGAGTTTTGAGTCATGGGTTGCTGTCTTGTTGGTGGCATGTCTACTCACCCTAATTTAAATAACAAATTCAGCTGGTCAAATAAAAATTAAAGAAACAGAAAATTATGAAAGTAACTAATATATATATATAACATACCAAACAAAATCCGAACATTTTATTTTACAGCCTTCCTCTTAACATAGCCCAAATGCAATTTCAGGGCCACCGACCCTGCTCTGAATTACAACCTCCTGTGCTTGGAACAAGTTGCATATTCTTGTTGCTTTGATAGATCTGGATGTTTATGTGCACCTAATATCACAACTCTTCAAAGTTTCTCAATCAAAGAGCCATCTTTACCCTAGAGGTAGGATTGTTGCAGGAAACTTGTCAACTTTCTCTGGTTTGGGTATTGTGAGGGAAGATTATCAAAAGTGTCCTTGATGATGATGCAGTCTTGGTAAACTCCAGGGCAACGCACCCCCCTGGAATTCGGTTGCATCATTGTATCATCGGGGTGGGCAGTCAGATTAGCCTTATGTACACAAGGAATGTGAGAAAATTACTGTAGTGTTTACTTGCTAATTTTCCAATAATCAAATATTGCATATTGAAATGTCTCTTTTTCAATGGTGTGCTGCCTCGACACATTGTAATATTTATAATAATAATATTATTATTATTGATTACAACTACAAAAAGCAAAATATCAATCATTCATTTGTTATTATCTTGATAAGGATCTTATTACCCAGCAAGATCTGCTCCACATTTTGATTCCAAATTATAAACTAAATCAATACAAATAAAAAATAGTGCCTCTGGTTAGTTATTAACACTTCTTTAAGAGAACCATATCATACCAATTAACATCACTCACATTTTGAAAAATAATTTTTTTTTCCAAAAAAAAAAATCGGTCGCGTCAATAAAAAAAATCCTTTTACAACCCCAAGTTCCAATAATATAGTATTATAGGATTAGGATTTGATGTTACAATCCCGTTAATCCGTCAACCCGCTAACAACCCGTTAACTCGTTAACGATAATAATAATATCAATATTAATATTATAATTAATAATCCATTGATCCGTTATAATAATATTGTTTTTTTTTTATGCTGAGGTAGGACTTTTTGACCTTGTTTATTTATCTAATACATTATGAATTCTACCTATTACTATTAAAATAAAATTAATATCACAATCTTTCAATCCTTTTAAGAAAAATCATTTTTCAATTTAAAGAAAATTTTTGAAAAATACAGTCTAAGCTATCTATACCGAACATCTCTATAACGAATATTGAGTAAGTCTCTCTCTATAACGAACTAAAGCAGAAAAATTACATATAGGGAGAGGGGTTCAGTATAGGGACCTTAGACTGTATAGGGAGGGGAAACATGTAAAAGAACACGGATGAAACATGATTTTTTTAAAAAAATCATGTTCTTAAAAAGAAATAAATCACAATCCATCTCCAAATTAAATAAATATTTTATTATTTTAAATTCCAACAAATAAATGTTTTTGGTTTATTAATACCATATTACTAATATTATCCAATAATATAATATGTTATTTTAATATTAACGGATTAACCTGTTACCAATCCGGATGGAAAAAATCCTAACGGATTCTTAACAGGTTCAAATATTCTTAATATTAACAGGTCCATAATAATAACGTTAATCCGGGTCGTTACACTATAATAATAATAGTAGTAGTAGTATTTTTTTTTTAAAAATTAAAATGTCTGCTTCTGTAAATAAAAAAAGAAGAAAAAAGATATTATAGGAACGAGACCTGGGTAATAAGAATGGTGGTCACTTGTCCTCATTCTTAAAGGTGATGGTGGTTGCATGCAAATGCTGCCACTGTTACCACTACTCTAGTTATTATTGTTAAAAAGAATAGTGGTTGCTATGCGTTGCAACTTGCCATTCCTAGCAATTTCTTATTTTTTTTTTTTTAGGTATAACAAACTAAATTTGGGGCATCCATTGAGGAATTCCCAAACCCCAAATGTAGATCAGTTTTCTTGTTCAACCAATAAGTGCCTGGAATTTGTGAGGATGATCAGCGATGAGCAAGTACAGGAATCTGATCTACATTTGGGATTGTGCACAAATTAATTTGGGGATTTGGAATTTGGGATTTGGGAGACATCTATATTCAAACCTACTAAACATTGAAGTAATTATAATGCAAACAATTTGTAAACATTATAATTATATTTTTAATTTTATTTACAAAACACTGCAATTAATTATTTATATTATTTTAGAGACCAAATCAAGATAGGAATACTTTGTATAAATGATCCATTATATGGGGCATGCTGCAACAAAACCAGACAAAGTGAACATTGATATTACCAAAAATTTCAGGGATCAAAATTTA